AAATTTGTCGTGCCCGGAACTCGCGGCAGTTGCTAGGTGTGGAGCCAAATAGAACTTTAGATTTTTTTCTGGCCGAGAATTCTAGCTGTTTAGATGCTCTGATTCGTAGTTTTCCGTGGTTTCTGCCCAACAACCAGGCGAATAGGAAATGGAAGAAGAAGGAAAGATGTCACGAGATACTGTGTTTATTTGGTCAATTACTGCTCTGGCATTTCGGGTGTATTGATTGGAAAACTACGGAAAACTACCGATCCGTAAATAAATTCTTGGCTATCCGGAGAAGCCGCACGTTGGGCTGAGAGGCCAACTGTTGGCGTCTCAGCCAACAAACGCGGCGTCTCCCGGATAGCCAACAATGTATGGAATCGAGCCGCCCCGATCAGAGCAGCCGGCCGCTAGATTTCTCCTCCGGACAGCACAGAACTCGACCCAGCTATCTAGCTTGTGTGGAAAACCGTCGGGTCTCGAATCTAGAGGCTCTCGATCATATGCATTGCAATGACATCAGTTGTGCCTCTTCCTGAGGGCCTAACCTGGTGTCTAGACAGTGTCGAAACCCTGCCACGTGGGAAGAGGAAACTCAAGAACTTCCCAGTCAGAGGCAATGCAATGACTTCAGTCGAATGGCCTGAGCACCTCTCCGGACTAATCTAGATGTCTAGCTTAGTGCCCAAAATGCTGCCACCGTGGGCAGAGGAAGCCCAGGCCTTTCCAGTCAGAGGCACTGCAGTGACTTCAGTCGATGACTGAAGCACCTCTCCAGGCCTAACGCTAGTGTCTAAGCCAGTGTCCCGAAAATGCTGTCGCAGTGGGAGCGCGAATCCAGAACTTCCCAGTCAAAGACCACTGCAGTGACATCAGTCGATGCCTGAGCCACCTCTCGCGGTACCACGGAAGGGGCTGCCGCCCTGGGCGCCCACCTGCGTTCTGGTTGCGCGAGCGGCGGGATGAGGTTGCTGGCGGCGCCGTGCGCGAAGTGGCGCGAAAGCTCTCTCGTGCGTCGCGGCCGGCGCGTCGGCCAGCGGCAGGCGGCGGGCCCGCGGGCGCGGGGCGAGCACACGCCCACGCCGCCGCGGCGGGCCAGCGGCGGCGGCGGCCGGAAGCCGCCCCCGGGCTGGGCGGCGGCGGGGGCGGGCCCGCCGGGCGGGGCCCGCGCCGCGTCGACCCGCCGTGCAGCGCCAGCTCCGGCCCGTGGAACAGCGTCGTCTCCTGCGCAGAGCGGCGCCGCGCGGGCCTGAGCACCTCGGAGCGCGGGGCGGCCGACTCCTCCTCCCACTTGCAACACACGCGCGCCCAGTCAGCGCCACAGCCCGGCGGCCGCACTCCCCGTCCCCCCGGGCTACGTGCATCCCACAGTTAGAGCGCTTCGTACCGAGGAGGTTACGGTGCCGAAAGCGACGTGCAATCGGTCAGCGTTTCCTCTCGGCAACATTTATCTTAGGGTTAGAGCACTTTCTAGCGGGGAGGTTAAGATGCCGCGGGCGAGGTGCAATCGGAAAGCGTTTCCCTTTGTCAACGTTTATCCCACAGTTAGAGCACTTAATATCGGGGATGTTAGGATACCGCAGACGACATACTATCGGAGATCGTTTCCCCTTGACAACATTTATCTGAGGGTCATTTCCTTGTGGAGAAATTATGATACCGAAAGCGACGGGTAATCGGAGAGCGTTTCTCTTGACGATAATCGCGTCGGGTTATTTTGCGGCTCATTATATTCCATTGTATTTTGAAAATTACTATTTAATCAGTTATAAGAGAGATCTTACAGAAGAATAGCTAAACGGTTCAGTTCCTTTTTCATTACAAGAGAGTTGACATAGTTTGACAGCTTTGGAACATTCTTTGGAAAGTTCACCCATTTGCAATCAGTGCAAGGTCTTGCCTTCCCTTGCAAAGTGTTAGTGCAACCCCCTGAATAAAGATAGATTCCGCCGAAGACGGTTCATCATTCTGTATTCCAGTTGCAAACAACGCAGACAATTCCAATTGCCATGGATTTTCCCTCAATAACACCATTGGTTTTCCCCATGAGTTTTCCAATTGGTTTTCCCCTCAATAACACCATAAGAGATCTAGGCGACCTATGGTCCATTTCGTTTAAATTATTTGTGTACTAGGTGCGGTTCCCATTTCACTCGAGCCATATAGAAGCAGTGGATATGAGTAGTTTTATTCTTAAGTCAAATGCCCTCCACTTGCAAGCAAAATGGGACTCTCTTCGCTTGGCTTTAAGTTAATGGTAGGAAACTGTCGGAATTCCCCTCATTAATAGTTTCAATCTCACTGACACATATTTATATTACATTAAACTCCTTAACGTATAGCAACTCTCCAATATACAATCTTTCACTATGCACCTCATAATTTTTACATCGACTAAAGATTCTGAATAATAGTTATTAAGTAAGTTTGGTTCGGTGCTCAATATTACAGTAAATGCTGAAAATTTACGTTAATAATAAAATAATGACATAATTCTGCTCCCACTTTCATATAACATAGGTATAAACATACTCAATCAGAGTGATGGACACTTTATAATCCGCATGGTTAGTGTGTATACCTTCTTCTTCTATTGCAATTTTAACTAACTAGAAAGCTAATTATATGTCGATACCGGAAAGCTCCCTACACTCCAGTACAGGGGGAAAAGTATAGAAGTCAACATTATGATCTCAATTTTTTTGGCGTCGTATCAATGTTTAAGGTACTTTTGAGCTGTAACAATGAAGAAATACAGGATTAAGGTCTATTAACTGTTCTAAAGATAGTTACAATTGGCGCAGGTGTAAAGAAGATACACGCAGTTTTGTAACCAAACATCGGGAAGTCTCTATGAATGGATTTTCGGATGCATGTTGGTCTGTTTGTATGGATGAATGTGTTTCGCATAACTCTATCAGATTAAAAGATATTAAGCTGAAACTTGGTAAATACTTCAAAAGTAAAATCTAAATGTGCAGTTCTGAATATAATTAAGAAATTGTAATTTTTTGTGATACATTACAGGAAGTTCTTGTGATATTTTCAAAACTTTTTTAAAAATGGCCGAACATTTTAAAAAAATGACTTGAAAAGAAGAAAGTACATTTGTAACTATTGCATAGTTTCGATTTTATTTAAAACCTTTGACATATAGAAAACTCCCTACTTTGCAACTGGATAGTCAAAAGAATGTTTAAGAGAATGGTACAAGTCTCATTTTCTTTGAAAACTCTGGTTTTTCGAAAATTACAAAAGTTAAAATTTTTTTCGGAGTCGGAATAAACAGAACTTTGCCTCTCCTGGCTCTAAATATTTTATTATCATGTTTAAGGTAATTTAGGAATATTTTATTTTTCTGTGTTGGTAGAAAGTTCTCTGCCGCATTTCCGAAAGCACGATTTCTGATAAAATATACATTAACTCAACATATCATTTTTTGGGTTATTAGAAAATATTTTCATTTAATATGCTTATTGGAGATTTTCATTCTGAAGCATGCAGGCATTTCTTTTAGTTATTTACAATTAAAACTCAGTTTAAACTTATGTTATTATATGTATATTATTCAACTACTTTATTTGTATAAGATTTATTCATGGTTGACAAGCCTTTATTTTGTCTAGGAGCCGAATAATTCCTTCTGTAGGAGTGTCTCAAATAAATTTTGAAAACCTCAATAAAGAAAATTTCTTGATGATTGTTGATTACCTGGCCTTGGCGGTTACTAATAATGGCCTTGACTACTACTGACAATATTAAAAGTTTGACAAGCATTGAGATGAAGTTCTCATTTCCAATAAACTAGAAATCTAAATGAAAAGAAGTCTTCGATGATAAACAAGGGTTGAGCAGTATTTTGAGAAGCACAGGGTAATTTTCATTGAAAGTGAGATTCAAGTCATCCTCACCATACACATAATAGTCCTCAGGTATTTATATTTCAGAGTGATATCATTTTCTAAAAGAAAGTATTCATATTTTAATTGACATTTACATAGTTTACTGATAGATTTTTGTATTTTGTTATATAATTTTTTTATAAAACAATTCCAATTTGTTCATAAAATTAGCATAATTTATTGAAGATTTTAGAATGTCACAGTTTCAGTCAAAGTTTTGCCATTCATGAAAATATATTCATGAAAAGTGTTTACTTAAAGTTATTTGTCATTTAAATTATTTATCAAGAAATTACTTTGACATAATATCAGCGTGTCAATATCTCACATTTTAATCAAATCACAAAAGTGATGTCTTAACTCATGACTAACCCGAAGAATAGTTCTGAGAGATAAAAAGTCAAACCTTCGAAGTTGGATATCATTAATAGCCAAGGCCATATACATATTTTGTTGTCTAGGCTATCCGGGACGAGCCGCGTCACTGACATGGTGGCTAACCATGGCTACCATGTCAGTGACGTGGCTCGTCCTGGATAGCCCTAACAACATACACTCCGGCCGCGGAAGCCTACGTAACCATAGACATATATATTCCAAATGCTGTTCAATCATTTTAAGTTCAATATCTCTCTTCTGTTCAAATAGTTTGAAGAGACTTTGGTGATCAACAATTCATTGAATTGGTAACTGGTAAATCGTGTAAGAGTGTCTCAAAAAGATGGAAAATTTCTTGTCACAGCCAGCGCTGGGGTCAAGAGTACCTGGAAGGAGGAGGAGCTGGATCCTAGGGGGCGCCCGAAGCCCCCGGAATCGTCGAATCCCCCTCCGTGGAAGCCGCCGCCGCCGTCGTGTCCGAAGTCGTTGTCCTGAAACGCAAATCGAACAAACTCATAAACAACACATTTAAAAAATACGAAAGTAATTTTACACACGACATTGCACACGACATGAAAGTGGGCACACACGTTGCGCCTAAACGCGAATACACACATTAACATTTTACCAAGAATATTAAAAACCAAAAATATTCTGTTGTTCCACAACACACACAGTGGATAGAAAATATGTAATGACTGGCGTAGAGAACCTTGGAGCCTTGCTGTTCCATGGCGTCAGTTGTATAGTGAGCAGAAACGCTCCGAGTATGAGAATTCAATTGGTACGCGGTACAATAGGCAGAATAACACAATCAAATATTTGCATTTTTCAGGAAAATGGAAAATATTTAATCTCTTTTGTATTTTCCCCGAATTCATTTTAATTATTAATTTTACTTTAAAAACTGTTAAAAGCTGTGTGTGACAGGCTAAGGGCAGAAGTGTATTCTGTGCACGTTTTCTTAATTCTGCGGTTCCTACCCTCAGCCATACACAAGTTGAATTCTGAATACCGAAAGAAATGAGGGTTGTTGGCAAGAATTGTAAACAAAATAATCGCTCCAATGTAATAAAACATATTTTCAAAGTCAAACGGGCTATAGATATGGATTTTTATCCCTCTTTATATCCTTCGTGAAGGAATTCAGCTTCTGGGTCAATGACCTCCATCTCGATCAGGTTTTCGTCCAGTTTCTCTGATCCTCGAGCAAATGCTGAGATGCCCCCTTGTTTTGCTTCTGGACATAAATGTCACTTCAAATTAACTTCTAACCGGACCGGACTAATTAACCGGACTGTTGTACCCAAGTTGGCGGGTCCAAACCTGATCGAAGCCGTGGGTTTTTGAGGGCGAAAAAATTCCTTCGTACGCCTATCTTCGGAAGGGAAGTAAAGCCGGCTGTCCCATGTTCGTAGATTTACTTGCATGTAAGACCCTCAAGCCTAAATGACGCCTCTGAGCTAAATTCAAATCGCCAGTTTCTCGCCCAAGAAATACCTCCTTTCTCTGCCAGTTGGTGAAAGGAGCGTAGCGAAATTTGCGTGGTCAGACGGAAGAGCGGGCTTCATGGCCCGAGACTCGCCACGCAAAATAAGGTATTAATTCAATTCAACTCAACTTCTCCCCATAGCACGTCACACACAGTTTTGAGGAAATAAATAAATAAGCGTCCATCAGAGGGAAGGGAAGCAGGTACCTGGAAGCCGCCGTGGAAGGAGAGGTCGTGGCCGAAGCCGGCGGCGGCGCCGGGGGCGGGGGCGTCGGGCCGGAAGTCGTCGCCGTCGAGGTGCGTGAAGCCGCCCGCGCCGCCCCCGCCCGCGTGCTGCCCGTCGAAGGCGCCGTGGCCCGGGAAGTTCTCGGGGCCTCCGGCGGCGTGCGAGGGCCCGGCGCCCGGGTGGCGCGGGGGCGGCGGCGGGAAGTTGAAGGCGTAGCCGTGCACGCGGCACGAACAGCAGGACGGCACCTGAGCACAGCACAACACAACACAGCGTCACGGGGACGGAACAAAACAATGACACGCTTAGGAAGTTCATTTGCACTAAGGATGTGCCCTTAACAGCGAAACTGGGTAAATGGGATGTTTACGGTGACCGTTCCCTTGACTTTTTTCCTTTACAGTAAAACCAACAATTCTCTGAAAAAATACAAGAAATTGATATTTAGTAAAGCTCTATCACGACAAAAAATGTGCTTAATATACAAATATTGCAATGTGTGAATAATATGACATCCGTTAGAAACAACACAATAAGTCATGACCAACTTAAGTCATTCCTGATACAAGGTTACAGATTCAATCTATTAATTCTTTCAATGACACGGTTCATTTTATTGATTTTCTGAACGGGCACCGTTGACTTCTGATTAACCCTAAAACTGTTATTTCTGAACAGTTACGTCTCGTAAGTGTTACGTGAAATAACAGTTAATTCGTTTATCCTATTATTAGCTGTTATCGCTTGAAATGCATTGCATTGCAATCTATTGGGCCTAATCAGAACTACTACTACTAGCTTTCGCGGCAACCAATTTGTACGAGAACAATTTCATTGCAGCTAATCAATTGTAATTAGCAACTGTTCAAATTATATCGTTAATAAAAAACATCATTATTTTATACCATGCGCCAGAATATTTTAAATTTTTTATTGAATACAATACAATAACAAGTTTGTCCTTTACATTAAATCCGTCAATATGTTTGTTAACTTCTTTTTGTCCCAATGCTGCTTAGGTGATATCCACTAATATGTTCGATGAAATAAAATAAGTTAGTGTCAAATAACTCGCATTATAATATTTGATATTCAACCTCATTATTTGTGGCACTCGTCACTTCACTATGCACAAGTTGCTTATTTGAAAGAATATTAGCAATCTGAACCCGAATCACGAATCACTGTTATTTTAGTAATATTCTATACACATTTGCTACTCATCTTATCAATTACTATTCTTCCTTGGCCGTTCATCCAGGTTCTTTCAGCCATTTCTATGTGCAAATATGTTTGGGGAAGTAGTGCAAGCACGTGACGCAGCTGCACAAGGTTTACGATGCTCCCAACTTTATTCGTTTTGCCTGGTTTAACTCTTAGCAGTCGCCACAACTGATTTAACTCTTAGTAGTCGCATACCGGCGCACCAGCTTCACCTAACACAAATGTGTCCCCGAGCTTCGCCTAGTCCGGATACAGCATACATCTGACCGAAATGTTGTCACTAGACTCATCGCTACGATAGATTTGAGGGTGGGCAGATACCTCGGTGGTTGCACCTGGAGGTAAATAGTCTAAGCTTGTGGAGATGTCTAGGAGCAAAAGGAGAGGGCAGAGACGAAAAAGAGGATAATGTAAAAGAAAAAATCAGCTCTTTGGTAAGAAAACACATCTGATGTAAAATACGACCAAGCAGCTGACGTTTACTACATTGGAATACGCGGGTCGAAGAGATCACGCTTTTTCGAACTTATATCTCAAGTAAGTGAAAAGGGAGGGAGTTGTTGTGGAGCCAAAGAGGCAATAAAATACGCCGATGCAAATTTGAAATTTCTTCTTGTATTTTGTTTGGAGAGCTTCCGTCAAATGACAACGTTTACTGCGCAGTTCCTGTGCCCTCTCGCTTTCATCGGTCAGCCGAAGCTTGGCTTCCTTATAAAGCCGAAGGTGAGCTTACTTAAAAAACTTAATAGACTGTTTTTAAGTTATGCAAATTGTACTGGTTTGTTCTATGTAGTGATGAGTAGAACTGAAATTGTCTTAATATGAAGTTATATTTTTTTACATTCATCATGAAGAGCGTAGATCCTAGCTGAAACTACTTTTTCTTGTCTAGATTGATGATAGTTATAATTTAAATAACTCAGGAAATGTTAAATAATTTCTTCTGCATGTTTTAACATTAAATTGTACGCAACATGATGCATAACGATGTCCTTATCAACTCTAACAGCAAAGAGATAATTCTTGTAAATGAATTGGGGATTGTTTGTTGTTCATTTTTGAACTATGGAATGTACTAAAAGTACAAAACCGCACAAACCAGATGACATACTACCTATATTGAACATATAATAATAACAACTTAACAATACTAACAAATTCCATCATAACTTTGTATGTCTCTCTGACGCACTAATTTGTATGATAATATTCAGGATTGATCGTCCACAAATGCCATAAAATGACTAAGCAGATGTACGTTCTATTTTTACTTCTACGGTGGTTCTGGTGCCAGATTCAAACATTCGGAGATTTGCGTCTGCAGTAAAACATACTAGTTGTTACTTCATATGCAGGAATGAAAATGGCTCGAGTTTTCAAACAATTCATGATTTTAGCGGGAGGTATCTATACGAAATCCTCATCTGTCGATGTCTCAGTTATTTAAATGGAGTGAAAATCTCCCCTGGAAAGCCTAAACTATTTGTAATTACACTCCTTGTGGTTGGTATGAAATGTAATATAGCGTACCTTGAATATGTCCATGTGAAGTCCTCTTGTTTCATCCCAAGTCAACAGACGATGGTAATTAAAGACTTGCGAGCATGTCGACCGGAAGTTGTCGGATACGAAAGCACAGGCGTCATTCGGTTTTCTGGAAAACAAATAATTCATGTGATATTAATAAATGAAAACTGAACACAAAGAGAACTATAAAGAGTATCATACCAGGAGGTTTTGTGATATCTCACTCATTTGTGATGCATTGCGTTTCAAACTCTCCAAGAAAACGTCTAAAAATAGCTTTAATCTGTAGCAATATTTCGGACCGACTAACTATCCAGAGTTCAAACTTTCTATAAAATAAAAAGACAAACGAGACGTAAAAATGTATGAATATTAGAAGTGTGTGTGTGAATGGAATGGACAGGAAGTACAATTATTTTGGAGATAACAGAATGCATAACTGTGAAATAAATATAACAACACATGATAAAGTGAAAAAAAGAGAAAATAAAACTAAAATGTTATAAATTTATTAAAATAAATTATCTCTAGAATTCATGGAAGGCACCTTTTAACAGAACTATCAAAATTGTTGCTTACACAATTACATGACACTTGCCAGATAGTCATTAAGCATAGCTGTTACCTAAGCTCGTACACTTTACATTGTTACAATATTATTCCATTTGCGGGCATCAGAGAAAGTGAGTGAGTTACAAGTAAGTAATGAGAGAGTGAGTTAGTTACGAGTGATTAATATTGTGAACTGGATAGAGCCCTGATTAATTCTACAAATGAAAGTGTGTCTTGTTCTGTGCAATGTGGGCACTTACTGGTTTTTTGGTACGTACATCTTAACTGGGTTTAGGACACGTATTTCTCTCCCAACGGTATAATGATAAAATGTTTCGAATAGATTTGGATGCACAGTGTTGTAAACATGTGTGGAAATAATCGTTTTAATTGTTGCTACTTGTGACTATTTACTTGGAATATTTTAAGGGGTATTATTATTATTATTATTATTATTATTATTATTATTATTATTGTAATAAATAAATGAATTATAATAGTTCAGAATATTTCGAGTTATTTTACATTCATAAGGATGGAATCTGACTGGCTCATCAATGCAAGAATATAACAACAGAAACTTAAACACAGGAATTTGGAATACAGATGCCTGTTACATTGTACGTATCTACTAAGAAGAGTATTTTTTTAAATTCATCCTCTGAAAGGGTAAATTCATTTTTTGTTCAATTTAAATGTAATTCACAACAAATAATAGGCATTGCGTGTAGCTTTGCCAGCGGGACTTCGCAAGGAGAGCAGAGATGGTATGATGGGTGAGGCAGATCGGGTGGAAGTATAAATACAATTGGATGGAGAGAGAAAGCGAGAGAGATGGAGGGAGAGCGAGAGAGATGGAGAGAGCGCGAGGGAGATGGAGAGAGAGCGTGAGAGAGCTGGAGAGAGCGTCAGAAATGGTAAGAGCGCGAGAGAGATAGAGAGACCGCGAGAGACATGGAGAGAGAGAGAGAGAGAGAGAGAGAGAGAGAGAGAGAGAGAGAGAGAGAGAGAGAGAGAGGGCGGGGGTGGTTGGGTACTCACGAGCACATCTCGAGGCGCAGCGTCTGCGTGTAGTCGCCCACGTTCACCACGTACTTCCAGTGGCCCGAGGTGGCGCGCGCGCGCTTGGGCCGCGCGTACTTCACCACCGACGCGCACAGGGCGCCGCCCCCCGGCAGCGCCGCCGCCGCCGCCCCCGCCGCCGGGTCCTCGCGCCTGCGCACACGGCACACATCAGCATAAGCGGCACTAAAATATTACATGTAGGCAAATTTATGAATACGATTCATTGCTTGATTGTTAGTCATTCCAGGCGTCAAATACTAGGGTTATTAGTCGCGTATGTGTAGTTCAGGTTTTGCTCGGGAGGTGGCGGTGGTCTTCCTCCGCTGGACGGCGAGATCCGGTGCCGACTTAGCCTTCGGCCAGCGGGGTTTCCTCATCCAGGTATCTTCCACCAGAGGAGTACCGCTCCAATCGGAGCAAGCTCTAAGCTCCCGGCATGTGTGGTAGTGTAGTGCGTGTTAGTGGGTGTGTAAGTAGGAGGTGAGGGTAGGTTAAGGAAGAGGAAGGAAATATCGCGTGCGGTCAGTGGCCCGTTTGTTAGGGTACTGCTCCGGAATTCGTCTGGTGTTGATCGAAGAAACTACGGAAAAATACCTATCAGAGCAGCCGGTTTCTCGAATTCTCCTCCCGACAATGACTGAATTCGACCCAGCTGTCTAGCTAACGTCGAAAATCCTGGCACTGTCTGGCCACTCTCCCTACCGACACCACTCTCCCTGTCTCCCTCCACTCGAACCTAGGACCTCCCACTCAGAGGAACTGCAATGACATCAATTGATGTCTTGAGCCATCTCTCGCGGTAAATTTTCAAATACTTTACTGACTATTAACAATAATTGAATCGGAGAAAACAAAAACGTTCGTTGTCCAGGAGCTTCAAATTTTGAAGAGGAAGCAAAAAGGATCCAAGTTCCGCACATCAGTCATTTTTTCTTAACATTAGTAGTTGATGGACATTAACAGACGTCAGAGCTCACGGACAACAAACTTTAATTAATGGAAAGTTGAATTTATATTTTAAGACGTTTTGCACCGTTAACTCAAAACTAGCAAAATGTGTCATTGCACTTTTTTCTTTGCACCGCTTCAATTAAAATTTCTCTTTAAGCAAAGGAGAGTTAATCAATACTTATTCAAATTCTCTGAAAAAAAAAAAAGATTATTTTCAAATACACTACTGCTTGTTAATAATAATTAAATTTTCTTATTAATGTGAAGAAGAATCTAGAATCGTTACTTGTTTAAATTACAACTTTTTTAAAATTACTTTTTTATTTATATTTTATTTATTTCACCTGTAATTTTTGAGTGTAATAAAAATATAATTTGAAGAAGTATTGTTTCTTGATTGTCTTTTACATTAAGGACAACCTATAGGTATTATTTTCACAACAATCATACGTATTTTGAAAATATTAAATACTGATTTTTATTTCATCTTTTCAATACAAAGGAAGTTATGGTATATACAAATGAGTAAAACCCGAGCAAACATTTAGCCCTGGAACCGTACGACTTTGAAAGGCTTCAGGCTGAGAGAAGTGCGTAAAGCTTTTATTCCTCGGTTACTTCTACCATTGAGTAAACATTCTCATAGTTCTATTCCCAATTGTCCAGATCATCAAGCAAACAATGTAATTTTACATTGATTTTAAAACTTCGCTGACTTCTGACCACTCATTCTATGCGGTGAGAAAACGCAGAAAACCTGTAATTCCAAAAATGTAATGTTCAAAAGATCTCAGATTGCAGATTAAATCAAAAGAAATATAAATCGTTATTGGAAATTAATTATTAACACTTTTTACGTCTTTTTGAAGCTGTAAATTAAGCTTTGTCAACATAATCTGTAATATCGTTTGTACCGAATAATTTCGGCACAAAGATGCATTAAAAAACATTAAAATGTAATTCTCAAAGTATAGGTTGAGTACATAATATTTTTTTTCTTTTTTACACAAAAAATACAGTGTCACCACTGAAATAGCGTCAGTTCACAGTTTGACATAAACTTCTGACCCTGACGCAACTACTTAAAAATATGTCTCGGGACGTTAAAGCGAGAAACGAAATTTTATATCCCTCTTAAAACAAGAAAATTATGGTTTCATGTTTGTTTGTTGTAACACTTTCAAGTACATGGTCATGTCAGTTTCATGTTCATGTTTGTAACATGAGAACACTTCTTCACACCCAGATTCCTTTAAGGTCCATTCACATCTGCAGCTGTCCTCTCATAGCTCAAATGCAACATTAGAATGTTACGTTCTCATCTGACTGCAACGAATTGAGTCAATTGTTTGCACTAGACAAGTCTTACGTCTTGCTACAAGAAGTTTTAGAACTTTAAATTATTTTTGCCACGGAGTGCTGAGTCAGAGGAGAGGACAGAGATTTTTACTTGGCGTATTTCATCACGTTAGTTCTTTCCTCACATTGGCGGAGATTTTCATTTCCCACGGTTTTGCGAGTGTTTCTCTGGTGCGTGAAAGCAGGCAGGATGTAATGGTCTCTCACCCATCGATTCGGCAAGTACTCTTGCTGCACCCGCGTTAAACGCCTCTAGGAACATGGCGCTAACAGCACAGTGCAATGATTTTACAACACGAACACAGAAATATTTTACAAGAAAATTGTGTATTTCGAACACATGAATTTCCGAACGATCTTTTTAAAATTTAAGAATATGAGAAACTGTTTTAAGCTAAAAAATATTGTTCTTATTAAACTCAATTGCAATTAAGTTCCATGTAACGATTGATTGCAATAGTATAGTTGGTGGGGGAAATGTATCTGAGCAAGTGGAAAAAACAAAACAGCATAACCCCCTTAGCCTACCTTTGAGTTTGGCTGAAGCGAGTCAGTGCACTTCAAACATCTGGAAACGAAAAACACGCCCACAGTTTGATACATTGAAAATAAGCAATAGCATTCTGGCTGGATGTGCGTATAATTCTGCCTGGATGACCGACGGTATTACCAGTGAATATGTGGGCATAAAATTATCCGGATCCCAAAATAAATAACGATTTTTACGTGAAATTAAAATTAGGAATAAGATTATCCAAATGGATCCATTATTGTCTTTAAATGTGAAGTGTATATGAAATGCAACCTGTATTACTAATTTCAAATTTTCGCGTACATTGACGAAAAATTAAGCAGCCACTGATACCCAGGAACTGGGTAAAAACACAAAAACCATTATACATAGATTCAATTTTGACTGAAAAGCAGCTATTTGGTTACAGAATGCTTCGACTAGATTCTTAGACTCAGTGAGTCGCTGCTTACGACGAAGCTGGCGCGGTGCAACGACGATGAAAGAACCTTCAGTTTTCAAGCGTTCCGATTCTCTTAGCCAATTTTTGCTGCTCCGAGATCCCATTTCCACTAACTCGCCAGCAGCACCTTTGCCGCTGCAGGCCAGTAGTTTTATCTACATTTCTATTGATTGTTATTGGATTATACCATTCAGTCTAATAGAGAAACAATAGCTATACATTATTACAAAATCTGTTACGGTAATAGGAACTAAACAACGTGTCTACGTTGGTGGCCAAAACGCTTACCAACTAGAGATTTTTGCGTGGTCTTTCACCCACTTTTCCGCGCTGGGCCACAAGGCGCGGAAAGCGACCCGTGACTTGTGCTCTGCCGCCTTCATGGGCGGCAGCGGTTTTTGAGGAACCACGACTTGACCGCTGCGGGCGGACGGGGCGTTCCGCACGACCCACAACCGCCCACCCACCCACCAACCCACCCACCAGACTTCCCCAAATGGCAACGGTGCATTTCACGCTAGATTTGATGGAGTTTTTTTTAGATTAGTGGGCTGTTTGGAGGGTTTATTTAAAGCGAATGTTTAGAGAATATGTCTGCATTTATAAATTTACTTATGAACTATATTGACACGATTTCAAGGTCGAAACTCCATTCACAATCGTTGCTGTATCAAATCTTGAAAGGTAACATTGTTTAATATTATTTAAGCATTTAAATCTATTTAAAAAGTGTTTGTTCTAATTCAGTTAAATGTTAAACAGTTAAATAATTATTGTGAATGTTGTATAACATAGTTTAATATATTAAACCAATAAAAAATAAATTATAAAATTCTTTGTTATATTTACTACGAAACGTAAGAATAAGTGGGAAGAAATTTTGGGAGATTATATAATAATCTAGAGAACGAATCATATCTTATTGGTGAAATACCAACATTTCAGTCTATCAACACTGCGAAAGCCCCCACCACGCATCCAACCACTCGCCCAATCATCCCATCACCGCACCCAACCAGCCATCGACCCAGCGAACCTCATACACGCCAACACCACCCAACCAGCATCCACACCGCTCAAGTTATCCATACAACATCCACGCCACCAACCTATCATCCATTCAACCGCCACCTATCCAGAACCCTCCATTCCACCCAGTCGCCATCTCGATCCACCTGGCCCAACCACTGCAACCACCCACCCAACAGCCATTCAACCCACGCCACCCACTCAACCAATCATCCTCATCCCCAACCTCACCTACTCAACCATCCATTCCCGCAAACGCAGCCGTCCCCTCTCTCCACCTACACCCCAGTCTCAGCCACGCCGCGCCGCCTCGCGCCTTGGCGCCTGCGTGCCGCGGCTTTTTCGCCGGAGCGGAAGCGCCTTCGGGGTCATAACGGAACAGCGCGGGCCCAGCGCCCGCGGGCCAGCGTCGACCGCCGAAGCGGTCGGGGGGACGATTCGTCGCGGCGCCCCTCTCTCTGCGGTGGACCTGCTTTTTCGCGTCTGCGGCAAAATTGAGAATACAGACGAGCTACGTGATGCATTGGAAGCAAACACTTCATCGCATCCAATAACCCAAAACAGGAACTCGCTGGCAAAGTAACCTTATTTTAGGGTTCAGATTATTCCTTCAGTAGATGCTTCAAGAAAAAATGCTGTTGGCAAATATTCTTTGAGCAATTAATCAAAAC